AGAGAGAGAGAGAGAGAGAGAGAGAGAAAACGCAAAACAGAAAGTAATTTGCAAATCGTATGGGTGTTTTTGATATCGGGGTGAATGCACTTCTCGAGAATCGCAAATGCATCATACTCAATGATTGGCCCAATGAACGTGTTTTCATTTCGGTAATGTAATCCAACATCTTCATTTCGGTACATGGATTTTGAACTAATTCATTGACTCGGCGCGGCAGAGAGAGGTTAACGAAATTAACATATTTACGTCGAAAAGATCGATATAATCAAATGTCAATTTGGGTAATAATCAATGAAATTTCCATAGCAGACAGTGTAAATCGCATATTATTACCGGTTCTTGAGATGTTGGCGAACAATGACACGTCTCGTTATAAGACGATTGCAGACGCACGTCATTTTATGACGCTTAGTTGACGCTGCTCAAGCATAAATTTATAATTGCAATCAGATGTTCATGGGAAGTGAGCTCATTTGATATAGAACATGCTTTCGATCAAGTGCGATGCAGCAGAAGCATCAAAAATAGCAGAGGGAGATGAAGAGAGGATTCTGCGACGAAATTTACATAAAAATTCACTTAAGAATGGAAATATTCAATTCAGTTAGACACGTCTATGATTTTAATACAATTAAAATCGGCTTGCTTGCGACATCAAAACGTGTTTGCACTGAGCAAGTCATTTGGGCACGCCACTGGAGTGCGCCATACCATATGGAAAAACATTTGCAGCTACTAAGTGAATACATATGCAACGCGTCATCTGAATATGAGAGAGAAAGAATATGTTAGACTCCAAACAAACAATATGAGAGAGAAAAATAGAAAAAAACGATGCGCGGCAAAATGCATTTGAATTTGTTGATTTGTCATTTGCTATGCAAATGAAAACACATTTAACTTTCAATTATTCTCTTTTTTCTGCGTCTTTTTCACTTTTTCTATCGTTCGTTGACTGTCGGTCTCCTAAATTGCCGTTATAATATATCACTCGTGCATCAAATTTGGTTTCAATTCAACGCTTTTTTGCGTATATTTAACGTTAAGTGGATGTGTGACCGACAAAAAACAACAAAAACGTAGTAGATTTTGCTTATATAAAGCGATATGTGCTCTATTTATCAGTGATAAATTATCACAGAAAAAAATGTGAATTTTATCAACGAAAAATCTCGTGTTGATATCATATGCTGATATAAGGCTTATTTTGTGCGCGATCTGATAGCAAATTTGGATTTACGAGCGCAAATGCATAGTAATGACTGGCTTAGCGTAGGTGCCAAAGTCGATTCACATAAATTTCAAACATGAATGCATCGCTAAGATAACGTCAAGCGCCATAAAGATGCATCTGCATCTTGTTAAATCTTCTACACTTTGTCTCGCCTCAATTGAATGCAACGAAGCGGTAAATGAGATTTCGAAAAAAAATAGGTCGAATGATATTGACACGACTGTCATTCATTATATAGCAAAAATTCCTGCTATAAAATCCGTCCAAATTCCTTCGCATACAGAATTTGTGCTTCGAAACACATGGCAACTCTACTCTATTTAGCTTACATCTCATCAAGTGCTTCATTCATACCATATTTACAATGCAATTGTTTTGCTGCCGTCGCCGTCATCGGTTTTTCTTTGCTCTGCCATCACAAATGAATTTCTTAATTAAATTTCTAATATTTTGCGCAAAGCAAACAAACCCATGCACAATCCCGAATGAAATGGATGCAAACGAAACTGCCAAAATAGAATAGTTCAAGCATGACTTCTCATTAGTGTGGCTAAACAAAGTTCTGTTGGTTTCAAATTCGTTGAAATACAAACCCATTTGCTTTCATCTCTCTCTCTCTCTCGCTCTTTCTCGAGTGCCAGTTGAAATGACTAAATCTAATGAATTTTCCGTCGTATTCAGAGCAAGAAAACCAATGATTTCTTTAATTGAATTTTCGATTGATTTTTCGTACTTTGAACATTTTAAATGGTTCTTTTAACTGCATTTTGAAATAGAAAGACGCCTAGTAACCGATCGATACCAAAAATCTGTATGCCAGATGTGCATTCGTTTGGAAAAAAGGCATTTTGAATGAAAATCCACAAAAAAGTTAGGAACGTTTTCGATTTTAACGTCGTGTTTATAAAGAAAATGAAGCTTTTTGAGTTTACCGAAAAAAACGATTGTTTTGAATAATTAGTGTTTTGATCTGTACAAAAATTCATGTTTAACAAGATTTGCATTGTTAAATGGCTTCAATAATCAACTGCGAAAATCCTCCGGAATCTCAAAGCAACAACAAATGATTAAATTTGTATTTTAATGACAGCGATAAAAATGAAAAATTTATTAAATTTTAAATGTTAAACTTAGCTTTGTTTGTGCACTAAATTCGAGCTGAGATTGTTGACAAGGAAAGCAAAGCAAAAACAAAGCCTTTTGTGTGATACTCCGTATGCCAAATTCAGGAGAGAATAAGCAAATAAATCGGATTGCCGTTGTGAATATGCATAAAATGTAAATATCTCAAACGATGCGATGTTATACAGCTATCTTGGATAAACATCAGGATTGCATGTATCTAAGTGCAACAGAAAAAAGTTCAATATCTCCATAAGCACACAGTATGACCGCTTATGGTGCTACTGTGCGTCAGTTGCGAATGCAAAACAGCACTCTCGTGACGATAACAGAAATGACAGTATTGACACTTGTTTCTCTCCTTTTTTGTCTCTATCTCTACGTTGTTGATCACACGGAATTTAAATAAAACAATGAGCAGTTGCAAAACAAAGGAGTGTTAATTTTGTTGACATTTTCCTATGACGAAAAAAAGAAAAACAATTTCCCCTGCCCTTACGTTTATCAGTTGAAAGGAGTGAAATTGAATTAATTAAAATCGATATGGCAGAGAACTAACGATCAATACAGTGTGTCGGCTATTGTTCCACCAAGGAACATTTAGGTCACACTTGAAGTTTATACGGTAAAAGTTCTGAATCACAAATGCGCCTGTCAATTAGTTCAATTTATTCAATTCGTTTCTCTCTCTCTCTCTCTCTCTCTCTCTCTCTCGATGTATGCTCCACTGCTACTGTAAAATTGATTGCTATCCGCAATACAAGCTCTGTGTGCCCTTTGTCAAAGTTCAGACCATTCGAACTAGTTTTCCGTCTGTTCAGAATGCTCTTCTAAATTGAAATTGATGATACAATTCTGTTGGCGAACGAACAAGTCCAAGAGCATCCGGGCCGCTTAAAATGAAGCTGCAGTGCATCTCATTCGAAACGGAGACAGAAGAACCAACATTGGGGTTTGCATGTGGCGCTCGCAGTACGAGACCCCATCATTTGATCACGATTATCACACCGTTGATAAGCGCTATTGTCAACTCTTTTCCGTTTTCTTATCAGCATTCGAAAATAGCATTTTTATCTAATGCAGACAGGCTTTACTCTTTTTTTGCTACCAAACACAAATGGCAAAGAATTTGTAGAGACGTCATGGGGCTGATAAATGAACGTAGTAATAGCTTCATTATTATGCTTCAAAGCACCTCGAATTAGAACAAGGTTCAGTTTTTTTTTGCCTACAACTCTCTTGTCATTCCTAATCAAACGATATCACTGTTCGATACGATATCACTTTGCCGGAAAACACACGTGCACTTGGAGAGGAAACAGGTCAGCTGGAAGTAGACACAAACAAAAAAGACGTAGAAAGTGGATTTTATATGGTTTTATTGCTTATTGCACTCTGATTGATAAAAGTATAGACATTTGGAGTCTGCAACAAAGTATTTTTTGAATATGATGATGATTAATATTGTGACGCTGCAATTTGCAACAATGTAAAAATGGAACTCATGAATGGATGTTGAACATCCGATGTTCAACAAATACAAAATAGAACTCATTCAATGAATAAATTTTTTTTATTATTTTAAAATTCATTTCAGTTCAATTTCACTCTAGATAAAATACCTTTAGATTTTTCTACTAAACCTATTGTGTTTTTTATTGCAGGTCAAAATATAAACGACTTTGAGAAAGTTTTAAGGACAATTCGTGAGCTATGGTATACACCACAAAATAATAATAGCGTAACTGATGTACAGTATTTACACAACTACTATTCATTCATTCAACGGTGAGTTCATTGTCATGCTTTGAATCATTTGGACGTTTTTGTTCATCATCAACTAAATATTGTTTAGTAAACAATCTTAAAAAACGGAATCGAAAAATGTGGCTTCCGAAACGTTCTTTCCATGCTGTAATCAACAGTCAGATTGAGCACTTGTGTCCGAAAATGTTCTCACGGAAGCCCAATTTCGGTTCATTCCAACGATTGTGGTAAAAAATCGATTTTCAAAAAATAAAGAAGTGGACTAATGTGGAAATTTTCTTTTCAACATTTAGTTGTCTATTTGCACTTGTAAACGTAGCGATTTATTGATCAATTATTCATGTTGTGGAAAGAATGACGCCAGTCGCATGGAGTTCTAGACGGTGTACTTGAGTTGGAAATCGATATATCTTCTACGCCGCACGCAAAAAAGCCTAGGGGCATATGACTCTCGCGAATGCTGCGAATGCTGCGAATGCCACGCACTTAATACGAATACCTTGCGAATGCGTCGTATCAAATACGAATGGCTACGAATGCTTGTGATGGGTTTGCTTACAAATGTCAATTTATATTTTTTTTCGGTTAAAAATGGTCATTAATAATATATTACGTTAACGCTGTTTGAAATTCAATAGCCTATACACAAACACTATTGTCAAATTCAATAGAAATTCATTTTGTTCTCAATGACTACACGCTCGTTAAATTGATGCTTTGCATCCTTTAGATGTTTTTTTTATTCCACGCACAGTTAATAGATTTCTAGGAGCATCGATCAATCGTTGCGTAAATTTATGTAAATGAATGAAATGCTTTGAACAAGCATTGGGCAGTGCCATTGACTTATAGAACAATACTATCACAAAACGTCCGAAATTACTTGTTCAAAATAGATCTCACTCAGATTGTGGTTTCATCAACACATAAATCTGTACGTTTGAGCTCATCTATACGAATTCAACCAGTAGATTGTGAATAAATGTTTGTTTTGTTTATGTGTAAATTTTTTTTGACATGTTTCAGCGTTGAATTGACAGCTGACACTGGCATTCGTGTAGATTCATGCATTCGCAACGCTCCCATATAAAATGTATGTAAACATTCGCGCCGCATTCGCAGCGCATTCGCGTGATACTCGCATTCGAATGTTTACGAATGCCACTGCGAATGCTTCCATACATTTTATATGGGAGCGTTGCGAATGCTTGCTTCAAAATACGAATAAAGTCATTTTTTTCCGAAACGTAGAACGTTTTCGAATACTCATTAGCCCCTAGAAAAAAGCGCTCATGTTCATTCAAAACCGAGGAAAGTCACAACAGAATTTAATCCGTATGAACGACTGTTTCCTTTTAACCAAAAGAAAACCAATAAATCGGTTTGTTTTCTTCGTTTGAATTTACGAATATATATTCAAATGGGCCCTTTCTTGATGAAGGTTGAATTTATTTGCATTCATTCGCCATTACATTAATACATATCTCAATGTTTAAAGCGATTGGTTGACGCAAAACGAAAAAAAAAACTGAATGGAAAAAAATGGACGAACTTTCCATTTGAATATTTCAAATGCCTCAATCAGTTGATGTAAATGTACCTGAATTTTGAAATACGTCCAGTCTGAGCCATTTCTAACTGAAACGGTTGAAATCAGTGTCGAATAATTGGCCCAAATACTGAGACAGAACCAACCAAATATATATGATGTTAAATGACTGTTAGTAAAATTCGTAAAGGAGCATTTAATTTAATGTATCCGATTTATTATCGGAAGACGGTTACGGTTGAATCGGCGATGTGGCCGTTGTTTAATGGCGTTGTGGTTATTCCATTGGTGCTGGACTAAAATTCAATTACAGGTTTCACATGTTTGCGTTCCATGTGTTTATTATCAGAATGAGAGTGTTATGAATACACACGATGGACGTTATTTAGACCATGAATGTATACACACTGCAGACTAAAACGCGAACAAAAAAAAAACGCCGGGCGATTGAACATAAAATGAGCCATAAATCCGTCGCATAATTCAAGTTCGTAATATGTTGGGTCAACGCTTTGTGCTTGTAGTAAATCGATTTCGTGTTTTTTTTTTGCTCAATTCTTCATTAAACGCGTTGTGTTATATTGGAAAACGCGTTGTAACCAAAACTATAGTTGCGTGTCAAAAGCAAACATAAACTCATTACAATATTAAAGCAGGATGATTAAAGTTTTTTTTCTGGAAAAAGCGTCACGAGACAGAGAGGGAGAAAGAGAGAAACAAAAGCGGAGCGTGCATATTTTCATGTGCGTCGATGCTTTGTCATCAGTGGGCTGGTATATGTTTGTTTGCGTTGCTTGTGAACCTTTTGTTTTAATGGAATTAATCGGTTCTCCCCCAAATTTTCATTCAATTCACACACTCACACAGCCTGAAGACTTGAGTTTCAAAATGGCACATTCCACACACTATAATTACGTTTATTACTAAGCTTTTTGGCGATACGTGACGATTGCGTGATAAATACCTTTTTTCTTTCGAAAGCTACAGTTGGGAAAAAATGCAAAAGCCACCCAGAATGTGAGGTGCTTGGTTGGCGCGTACTCAGCAAATGTAACATATAGACACGGCATCCAGCCGATGGCTGGATATGCCTTGAAAAACTGTACACGCTTTATGGATTATGCAAGAATTAAGATATATTTTTATTGGCGACAGCACACATTTGTTTTCTTGTCAAAGACCATGCACGCGGTGTTTGATTAAATTGAGAACATTGCGAGGCACACGTTGATCTCTCATTGGCACTCAATTCAAATTGAATTTTTGAGAGCGCAGTGTAGAAGAGAATGGAATTTCCACTGACTTCGGAATGACAAACTCCATTTGCGATGGTTTCGATGGCCCATTTTGTAGTTCAGTTCGTGTGACAATTACACTATTCGTCTTCGAAATCAAACTAAATAATTCCGGTTGGCTCGGAATCGAAAAGAGATTAATATGTCAGTTTCGATTAGCAACAGTGTGAAGCGATGCTTTGTTCTTGGCATTCAAACGTCCAAACACATGGATTTATCGACATCGATGGGTGTTTCGTGCGGTAGCACAAATTAAATTTACTTCGTTTACCGCAAATAAAAGATAAGCTATATTATCTCGAATTGTTAATAACAGTACGTATATCGTATCTTTCTGATGGCTCATTTCTCATTGTCTAACTTTTTTCTCTTTTCGTCTTTTCTTGGTTTGTCTGCGTTGCTTGTAAGCTTCAAGTCTGACTGTTCATTGTTCAAGTTGAGCTTGTTGATTCGATTACATTTGACATATAATTGGAATTAGTTGAAGTTACGGTTTCCATTTATATCGTGAATTATTTCCCATTTATTTGAGCAAATCTCGTGCATAATTTATATGCGTTTGCGGAATTTTTCCGAGATAAAAACGCTTGATTTAGAGAAACAACAGCCGTACAGAGCTTCGTTTCTTATCAATATTATTTAGTTTCACGTGTGCCAAAAGTCAAATACTACAATGAACACACACCGAGAGACATAGAGCAAAATGTTCGTGACTCGAGGGAATATATGCTTGGAAATATAGATAATAAGACAAAAGTGAATTCAACACACGTGTTCTTTTTGGCTTCCACATCGATTTGGAGTTGTTCAGCAAACAGAGACAAAAAGGATGTGTATCATTGAGAAAAAAAAGATAAACTCCGAGGCCCGTGTTTAATAAATTGAAAAACATTTCGCAAAATGATCGACTAGTCACTTTGCGTTACTATGCAAACAAACGCAAAATTTTATTTGACATCAAGCATTTTTCCCCGCCGCTTGCTATCTCTCCGTGCACAAACTTTCCTCTTTGACTAATGGGATACCATCTACCAACAACAGAGTGTTCGTCTTTTGAAATATTACAGTCAACATTAGTTTTGACTGAATCACTTTGGATTCGCGTGAAAAATCACGTTCCAGACTTGGGAAAAGAGAGGAAAAAACCGACAAACATCACAATCGAGAAGCGAGAATGGTGTGTTTGTGCGCAATTTTATTTTTGTCATTTCCCTTTGTTTGATATCAATTTACTAAATTAAACATGACCATGCCATTTTCTCGCGCTCGCTTACTACGTTGGAAAGCATTGTTTCAAAGGCAAGCGGTGAATGTGAGTTTGTACGAAATTTATCGGGGTCGGTTGGAGTTGCTCAGCATTTATTGCATAAATCATTTTGGTTTTTTCTTCTTCGATACAAACAGTTTCGTTTGTTTGCGTGCAAAATTTCCTTGACTTTCGCTTTTCGGTCTATTATAATCGATGGCCGTTTCTTTTTCGATTTTCGACACCGTCATCGCAGTCCTCCGTCAATATTGTTTTTGCTGTTTACAGCAAATTGATTTTCGATTTGGGAAAAGTAAACAATTTTTATTAAAATAGATTTTCTTTTTATTATTGACATTCAATCGACGAATATTTTTCATTTATTTAACATTTCGTGTTTCGCAATGTTCTCTTTTTTTCTCACAGGCAAAAACAATTGAATGAACAAAACTTCGATTACATATTGAATTGGCAAGGACAACTAAATCCAGCACCACATTGCGTACATTTCATGGAATCGAATGCGTTTGCAGCAAATGAAATGATGATGACACACAGCAACCGAAGCCGAATCGATAAACCACTCGGCGGAATGGGTTTCATCACTAGCAACAACACCAACACCAACACCACCACCACAATGTTCAACAAATCAAAAAGACCACACACTGGATTATTAAGACGAAGGCATTCATTGCCCGAGATTATCATGAGAAAGTAAGTGATGAAGCAAAAATCTAGGTAGCAGTGCATGAAACAGTGCACGGATTTTATGTAATGCAATTTTCAAATTATAAATATCTCAAGCACCCACACCGCTACGGGCGCGCCAGCCAATATGTACTGCTGGTGCTGAAACCGCGCTGGTGCTGCTGCTGTCGTTAGTGTGTGTGTGTGTGTGTGTCTTTATTCCTGCTGAGCAGGATAATCCATTATCATTATCAACGCAATGCAATCGAATCATTCCAACTGAATACATACCACATTGGATTGCTTTGGATTAAATGCACGTTTTCATTTTGCGTAATTCACGTTCATGTCGAAGGTTCTGTCTCTCAGCGGAGAGTGCAATGGCGCGCACCAATTTCTCCAAACCAGGTGGACTGCTGGTTGGAAATGAACAACGATAAAATGCTAAATAGAACATAGTACGTGTAGTGAGCGACATGCAATTTTGCAATTATTATTTTTTCTCTTTCTCTCGCTCTGACGAAATGTTAACAAACAAGCAATTTAATATTCAGGTTATGTGTTCATTTTTATAAGACCGTCTCTCATTCTCCCCAGTGTGCGCCCGCTCTCGTTGATCAAAAACGTGCTTTTTCACCGCAATTTTTCATATTTTCGATGTTCGTTTCGCTTTTATTTTTATACTCTCGGAATATTTTAACGATTTTCTGTCGTCGGGATTGGTTTAATGTTCCCACTTTTCATTGGAAATTTCAATATTTTTGGGTCAAAGTATTGCCCGGTTTCACAGGTCAAAACCTCTTTTATGAACTCTGAAAACATATTAATCAAACAATTTCATTCGGAATTAATTGTATTTACTCTGTATTTTTTCACTCTTCATTCACAGACATCAATTGGCCTCACAGAAGCATGTATTTTCTGATATGAATGCAACATCAGCGCCATCACCGCCGGCTAGAGAACGAATCCCGCCATCATTTGAATCGCGTGAACGTACTCGCACCTCATCTTCATCTTCATTAGGATCATCAGCATCAACCATTGTGCCAAATGGATTTGGCAGCGCTGGTTCAACTGGTTCCGATTCAAATTTGAATCGTATGTTCCCTACAAACGGTTCGATGCGACAGCAATTGCTTCGTCGCCTGTGGCACAAAGAATATCGTCGATTGGATCGAACGGGAAGCCTGTCGCCACCGTTAAGTCGTTCACTTCGCACTAAACGCACCCTGAAATTGCAGGAAACACAGCCCGAAGTGTGTTTGGAATGTCAGCGACTTGAGGTGACACATTTTAATCGCTCAGTTCCTGAAATCGCTATGAAACACATCAAACACACAAATTCATCCATTTCAATGACAAGCTCATCGGCTTCTTCGTTGGCATTCCCACGCAAATCATACTCCATCGAAACAGAAACACTGAACGATCGATCTCTAATGACAATTTCTTCGGTGTCGAGCACACGGAAATCATCGCCGCCAGTACAAAAGAGCAACATCACAAATTCAGCCGCGACTAAAGAATTGGATATAACAAGCGCTGCGAATATGTTGAACCAAATGAATGGAAATTTCGAAACTGAAGACCAAATGAACGGCAATGATGGCTCATCGCAAAAAAATGGTGATAATTCATTTTTTATTGAAATGGAAGGCGATAGTATCAACATAACAACAGTGGCCAGAGCTGAATCGACTGCCATTTTGGATTCAACGCTATGTATGTCGAGCAATGAATCATCATTTCGGCAGCACGAACAATTGACCGAATCGACCATTTCACAAACATCAAGCCAATGGTTTCATGAGAGTAGCGGTGATGGAAACAACAACAATAGCGATAACGATTCGATAAAATCATCAAAAATTACCGAAATAAGTCACATGAAGGGGCCTGGCGGTACATATGATGCGTATCACATGAGCAGCGGTGAAATTGACATAGAAAATGAATCCGTCGTTCGGCTCAAAACGCACGAACCACTTGACCAAAGTACAATCGATACGATAATATCGCAAATACTCGTCGATAGTCTAAACAATATTATTGTTGTGCAAGGTAAGGGCAATCAGAGTGATTCAAATGGTGATAGCAACAATGTTGAGCTAAGTATAAGTCAAACACAAATCGACAACCACACAGCTATGGATGAATTTGCTTCAAATCCATCGTCTCTTCCGCTTCCGGTCACGGATCAAATTTATTTCCCACATTATTTGTCAACCGAAACGCTATCCGAATACTCAACGAAATTGTCGGACAATTCAAGTGCCACTGATTTGTTACCTTCAAATTTGGTGATATCTGTGATAAGTGGGAGCACGTACCCAGGTGATGGTGGTGAAATGGTTGTGCATCGCTTGACTGATATGTCAAGAACTGAATCGATGGAAGTTCAACCGTCGTCGGCTCCGTCAATGCACGATGATGATGACGATGAAAATGGGAATCGCATCGAAGACGAAGCAAATCGGCCAACAAAAACAGCAACTACAGTGGAGGAGGATGATGATGATGCAACCAGTCTAGTCGATAGTTTAGATGATCCAAATGCAGTTGCAAATATGTCTGATCTCGATGCCGCATCGAATGATGTGAAAATGGTGGAAAAAAGCCAAGCATTCTTTGTTCCCATTGAAGACAGTGATACCAGCTGTGAAAATGTATCAATACCGGCTGATTTGAATGCTGCGATAGCCGATACGATGCCAGATCGATTGCGTGAACGATTGCAAAAGCGACAAATGGAAATCGTTGAGCGCAAAGAAGCCGAACAGAAGCGTCGAACTGAGAAGATTCAAAAATTGATTAGCAAACATGGAACAAATAGAAGCAGCTCTGGCCGTAAAACAAACACTTCCAGCTTTGAAGTGATTCCGGATGAATCACCAAAACCACTCAAGAAACAAATAAAAGTCATGACGAAGAAGAGCAAACAACTTCAGTCAGAGATTGGGTCGTTGGAATCGTACACCATCGATTCTCAGGGCAACTTGAAATTCGTCGAAGCGGGTAAAAAATCAAATGGCACCAAAAAAGTGACAACCATTTCCGGGCCCGCTGTTAAGCATATTGCTATCAAAAAGACAATCACAACCAGCAAACCATTGGTCGCTACAAAGAAACCACGGGAAAGTGCGGCATCGGATAAAAATCCAGCGGAAAAACGAATTAAAGTCACTTCAAATGCCAGCAGCAGTAGGCAACGGAGCAAAGAGATTGTCAGTCATAGAGCGACGAGAAATGTACAAAAAATGACACTTGGCCATCATTCACCGTCCGATATGATAACACCCGATCGTGATTGCGGACCGAGGCGTATGTATCAAAAGACAGAGATTCGTGAAGGTGCGAAACGTATTGAAATTTTGGAAATCGTTGAATGTAAGTTGGGATTTGACTAAAAAAAAACTAAACACAAGAAAATGTTTCAAATTTTCAAATTTGATGTATTTTTCTCGATTCCAATAGGTCTGAACAGTTCACCCGATAGCTTGAACGCATCACAGTCGTCGTCATCTTCACCGCCAACCGATTCAACGCCTTCACAATCGTTGATTGAGCGATTTTCGGCCAAACACACGTCGAAAATTCCAGTTCCTGTACTTGCAAAGAATAAATCCCGTAGAACCCTGTTGAATGGTAACCAACAACGCACACTCAAAGCGCAAATCCGTGATTCAGTTAGCCATTACAATGGTTCATCGATGAATAATTCCAAAGTTGATCAGATTATTGCCGATCTATTGATTGAAGCGCTCAATCATTCAACCGACATCGGCATTGAGTTCATCAAAACTCCACAAAATGCTTCCCCACAGTCACATATCAAATTGAATCCAGCGAAACGAATGAGTTTGAGTAGTCGTCGTGCAAGTGGCCTTGCGATCGCTGGAAGTAGTGGATCCGGTGGAAGTGGAAAGCGTTCATCACACAGCAGTGCCAAATATCAACAAGTGTTCGATTCCATTCCCGAAGAAAAAAGTGGAAGTTTGTCGTATGATTCATCACCAAACGATGAACAGAACAGCACATCACCACCTGTTGATCGAGCCAGCAGCAATAATTCAACGGGAAACCCAACGAGTGAAACCGAATCGAAAACAACAACATCCACCACCACCACCGCCGCCACAAAAGCATCATCTTCACCAAATAAAAGCAATGACACCAGCAGAAGAGCAACACCACCGAAATTCCAATCGAATGGAATTCAAACGAAAATTGCGAGTGGCAAAGCGGCAATCGAAAGCGATCAAGTTAAATCGGAAACTTGGTTCGATTGCTTCGGTCGTGCACATGTTGACAGCCCCGTCGATGGGCTGCTCATGGAAGAAGGTATTTTGAAAATAATGCACAACACCAGCCTAGCTGTTTGATGAAGTCTGATATTAGTTTACCACTGAATTTTGATTTCTGTTAATCTCCCTATATAATAATTATGACTATGTAATAATTTTGCGTGTGATTTACTTTGATTTGCATTTTTTACACTTTTCAATTTTCATTTATTTATATTTTAAAAACATTTTTTTTTTCGTTTGCGAAATGAATCGAATCAATTATAAATTGGATTCTACCAAGCCTAATTCTACCATCAAACAAAATAACAAATACCACATCAGATTTTATTGACTAATTCTTGAAATTTTGCTATTCAATTTTTAAATGTTTGAAACTGAGTTTTCTTCACGATTTTGCATTTTCATGAACAAAAAGAATGAGTCGTTTTATTTTTGTTATAAAAGTAAAAGGAAGAAAATGAATGCACGTTTGATTAATTCATGCAACAAAATGAACATTTTATTGAATAAACTTCTTTTGTTTTAATAGAAAAAGATTTTTTGTTTGTTTTTCTTTTCGTTTTCATTTGTTATTTGCTTTTTTTGTTTTGTTTAGTCGTTGGGTATGATTTTTTTTTGTTTGGATTCGTATCGCTTGAAATGAAATGTAAAATTTCAAATGTTCAATTTTTTTTAACATTGTGATGCTGTGCCTGTTATAGGAGCTCCAACAACAACAGGAACAACAACGTCTGAAACAGCGTCAATCGTTCCGCCAACAAATGCTCAAACCGAACGAAACATGCTTGTTTCGACAGCCATTTCGTCGGTGGCCACACAAGACAGTGCATTGACATCGGTTCCATCTGAAGCACCTGCTCGGGAAATACAGTCGGTAGGTTCGAACTCAATTTTGCCATTGATCGAAGAGACATTCGAGACGTCAGCAACAGGTAATCGTGGCGGTGATGCATCAAAAGAAAAGCCATTCCGAAAACATGCACGGTGCTCTGCTCAAAATCACTTCGACGCACCGTGCAGCGAGTGCGAAAGCATAGAAAACAATCTCAAGGAGGAAACTAGCCCAATAGCAAAAGATAAGGAAATTTCGGCGGCGAAGCTCAATGGAAATGAATTACATTTGGTGGCAATTAAACCATCGTGTCATTTGCCGAATGGCAATGAAAATGTTTGGCAAATGACACATATGGATAAATATGACACAGTGGGAAAGTTTACATTGAGCCCGATAACAGTGTGCTCGGCCCAAGATACGGGCACATTGACAAACAACAGCTCCATAAAATTCGGAGTCGATAGCAGTTCGTTTATTGTGATTCACGATGAAAATGACAATGCATCACATTTTCTGCCTAATATCACGAGTAGTGAAGCCGATCAAACGCCCCTGCGAAATGGAGAACGCCCGTCGAAAAGCCAAAATCAATTCGAACGACCGTGCGAAGATTGTTGCTTCTGCAATCCAACGTTGCACCACAAACGACGCACGGAGAATTCGCCGAAGAAATGCAATTTTTGTAGTAGTCGTCAACAGTCGACACAAACAACACCAGCTACATCGACACGATATCAAGACAAAGGACAATCAGTTAATGATAATAATAATGCAGCATCAGCAAAGTCATCATCCATTCCAGTGGAGCGCATCTATGAAAGTAATTATCGATCGAATCACACTCACATTCGTACACATTCCAAAGAATCGGACACAATAAACACGCAATGCACGAAGAAAACCAATAAAAAGGTTCGAAAAACACTTTTGAACGGTAGCGACGATCGGCTGAATGCAAATGCCGAACCGAATAATCGCAATGAAACTGAAGAACGAAATGGGAATGAAGTGAATGGCAACAAAGCGACCAAGCATAAATCATCTATTCCAAAATTGCCACCAGCCACAAATGAATGGACAAATAACAGCATGGATTCGGCAACGAGTCCCACCTCATCACATTCAACCGGCTCAAGTACGAAATCGAATCGACGTCAAGACTCAAAGAGTGTTCCCAATCTGCCAAGGGCTGACCGCAGTTTGCAAAACATCGAATCAAGTCCAAATTCGAAATCACAAAAAACTCGAACGAATTCGCGTTATCAAAATTTTTATGGCAATGACACGGCTAGTGCTACAGATGAACGAACGGCCGTCACACCAAACGATCCAAAGTCAAAGCCAACAGGTAATCTTTTTGTTTGTTGATAAGCATTCTTCGGTGTGTGTTAGTGTGTGTTTTCTAATCATTGTTTTGTGTTACGTATAGCTTTTCATATCGTTCAAAATTCCATGTCCTTGAGTTTATCAATGTAAATAACTTTGAAATATTTTGTTCATTACTTTCTCTGATATCCGCATTAGATATCATGTTATTGAAACATTATTTTGTTGATATTGAAAATGCTTATGCTTCATAAATGTCCCATTCAAAAAAAAAATTTCTCACAAAATTCTACTGCCCGATTTGCGTATGACATGTGTGTGATGATGGAACTATTTTTGAAATAAATAAAAAGGATGGACAGTTACATTGGCTGGAACGTACAGTGATGATATGGCACCAGATGTGCAGATGCACTTGAGTTTTCCAAAACGTGCATCGAGTCAGGGTAAAAAATTCGACAAATCCATACACAATCACCGGTCAATCGAAAATGCCAAGGATACAAACACTGAAACGGAACTCGACACCAACAGCAATTACAACGACACCGATTCACAAAAACCCGATTCCAAACCAGCTCTTCTACCACCATCAACGCCACAGTCAATAAAACTCAATCCCAAACGAAGTCTCACAAAAAATTATCTCAGCACGGGTATAGTCTCTCATAAAAAATGAATTTACAGAATAAAAAATGGTGACGGTTTTCCCTATGTTTTTGTTATATTCCGTCCACAAATGTCTCTCGTATGACTTTGTTCAGATCTTATGCATCAGCAACAACAACACAGCCATCTAGTGCTAGCGCCACATCGAAAATTTAGCTTCGATAGCAATGGAAATGCCAACGTATATCAACGGTCTACCAAGGATTATTGCAATCTTCCACACATTAGCGACCATCGACTGAATCATGATCATTCCAATCGCATAGTTGCTAAGCAAACCGCCAAAAAGACGATTAAGGTATTTACAGCGATTGATTACCCAGTTTTATAAGTACGAGTAGTAAATAGAAAGGTTCGGCTTTATTATTCTGCCTATTTGATCCTACCTTCTCTCTCGCGATGAGTTATCGAAATTGTAACCTACCACAATCGCAATAGAAATTCACATCGACAAAAAAATATTTTTTCCCCTACACAACGATTGTTTAAAAACTTCAGTTGAACACAAATGCAGTCAACCTCATATTCAGAAATTTAGGTAATTCACACAAACAATTACGAATTTATTGGCCAATTAAATTGGATATTATCGCACTGCATAGTCACAACTACATTACTGCCACAAGCTTAATATGGAAACTCATTAGTGATAACAAAAAATTTCATATCGCTTATGTATTGACATTTGTTCGAATTTTTCTCATGCATATTGAATGCTGCACTTTTTTCCATATCTTTGAACGCAAATCAAGTAGTTTTATTGTGTTTTTCTACATTCTACTTCATGCATTGCATAGGTCCGCGCACACGAATATACCATGTAGAATCCATTGCATTTTGAAGGCTTCATAAAAACTAATAAAATGTGCTACAAATAACGGCGCCATTCCATGACGCCAAATATGAACTGTTATTATCATTTGAAAAGAGAAAGAAAAAAATTGTTTTTCTGCTGTTGCAACAGCATTCAAAATGCTTGTGGACGCTCCCTTGTTCGTGCAAATATTGTGTGCTCATGATGCATAAAATATGAGTCATTCGTAAAAATCCATGTTAATTGGTGTGTATTCTTTATTTAAGCGTTCGGAATATAGTGTCTCAGTGGCATCGGCAACGACCACCACGAGAACCATATCGAATTTCGCAAACGGAAAGCGTGCAATGTCAATTCAAGCATTGAATGCAAACTCATTTCAACGCTTTCACAATGGCAACCGAAGAGGAGGACCGTATGGGCGCCGTGATCACTCTGCCGATGCCGGGTAAGTGGCTTTTTTTAAATGATATCGATGAACGGTGTTTGACAATTCGATACTAATCCCGTCAATTACAGACAATTAACATATCGACTATCAGCAACTCCATCACCTCTGCCATCATCCTCATTTTACTCGCCCACAACTGCTGGCGGCTATGATGACGATACCGATCGCAATGGTAATCATCGAAACAACCTATCAGTATGTGGCAATGCAATCGCTCCCGAACGTAAGCCACCCGTACCAACGATGAGCGAACGAGATGTAACCAGAAGACATGATGCATGTTTCACACGAACTCGTTCGATCTTTTTATAAATTTAAAATTACAGAAAAAAAAAAAACATATTTATATGGACATTTAGCACATACTATATTCCAAACAAAAAATTGACGTTTTTGTTAAAATTATGTTCATTTTTACGATATTTTATGAATTATTTAATAAAGCTCAATATTATACGGAAAATCCTGTCTATATTGAAACAAAATACAAATTCATCGAATTCTAAAGTTGTTCGTTTATTCAGTTTTGATCAATTTCATTAATTGCATTTGTTCGACTTTTATGTGTGGAAAATGCGATAAAATGCTTGCTAGCGTGTGCTCTTATTTAAATTTACATTGCAACTTTGAGTAGATTTCTGAAATCCTTATTATGGTGAGTGATTTTTGGTGTTTATTTTCGCTTCTTCTTTGAGCTTGCGTGAGCATCCACTGCCGGCACGGCTACATTTTGCGCTTTCTGCGAGATTTTATTGATGAAATACAAGGCAAAGATTGAGAATAGCAAACTGAAATTTGAAAAACGATTAAAATTAGTGATTTTGGTTTGAATACATCTACTTTAGTTCTACTTATTAGGGTAGAAAATATTTATGAAGTCCAGTCTATCCTACCAAGTGGTGGCTGAAACACGATGAATCGTTCCACAGGCAAACATAGTGCCAACCAAGCAAAAGCAAATTTCCGGGAATAATTTCGCTTGAAAACCATGACCCAATACAATTGTCTCCAGATTCGAAATGGCCTATAAAAGTATTAATAGAAACGGGTAATCAAGAATGAACAATATTGCAAAAATGCTAAATTTGACTGAAACTAATCAAATTGAGCAAATTTTACGTCGTCATACCGTCAATGCAAGCACAAACAACCAGGAACCAATGTAACCACAGAGAATTGTGTTCCACTGCGATGAAACAAACCACGGACGATACAATTGCATAGTTGAAAACAGCATCACAGCAAAAACGGAGGACAAAACCAACGAGACCGCGGTTGATACAGCTGAAAAACGATTCCAAAGAATCAATTAATACCTAACATAACCTCACATTTTAATCACATCCAAGAACATTTGTCGGTGATATTAAAATGTTAACTAGTTTGAAATTTGATTTTTAAGGAAAAAATCGAATCAATTGCCGAAATATAGCCGAATTTGAATAAAACACCAACGCCTACAGCCTTTTGAATGGTTGTTGAGCAAATTGATTGAAATCAAACCAATTCTCAGTATAAATCTTACCCATTTTTGTAGTATTTTTCTATATCTTTGTGCTAAAGAGTGTGCACTGTGCAACTCGTCGGAGTTAAATACTTTTTATATTCTAAATAGTAATTTTATAATAATACTAGTAGGAAAATGCGTAAAAAAATCAACCCGGCAGCAAAATATTGATATTTAACTACACGTAAACAAATTGGTTGACTGTTTGACAGTTCACTTTCCACAGAAAGTGGGAATTGTATTTGAACGCTATGCGAGTCCCTATTGGAAAAAACGTTCACAAAACCATACAGATAGAAATCGATTGAGTGTGTTAGTTGATTTGTTACGCTCAACTCAAAATCAAAATCCAAGAGCAGCAGTTCGTTAGAACGGTGACTTTGTGTTTGATTGAATGTAAAGAGTCAATCATAATAATTTACTTAATGCGCAGAGATCAATTTTTCGAATTGCCGAGCGTGTTGCGTGTATCTGAAGGGATCAATCCATCACAGCGCGTAATTGATATAAATTGCTATCTTACGATGATATATTTACTTGCCGGTGTGGCACACATGTTCGAATCTCAATATTTAATACAGGTTCTCATTGACAATGCAAATCGTTCTCTCTCTTACTGCGTATGTGTTTTTTGTTGAATGGAATGGTGGTTTTATGTATATGCATTATGTACGGTGCGTGTAGAGTAAGAGGTTTCCAATCAGAAGCAAGCGAATACCGCAGTTCCCCTACATAAATCAGCACTAACATGATCTCACCACTGTTCAACGTTTGCGCGCATTGCATTCGGCACGGTTCCATTCAACGTTTCAGTTGTAAAGTGTTTGTCAGGCGGAAAGGTTGTTTTTTTTATCCGGAGCGTCTACGTTTGTTGTTAACAAGAGAAAAATCATTTCATTTTTGTTTCTTACACAATATATAATATTTATCATCATTGTGTGCCCACTGCGGTTTCTCACACCATAAACGGTCAGTGAACGTTGGAGAAAGAAGAAAAAAAAAAACACCAAAAATAGCAAAGACTACTTTGATTTTAGTAAAACTAAGTATCGATTGGATAACGCTAATTTGCAGCAACGACAAATCCGCACACTTAATAGGTTTTCACCAGAAAAATTTACTTGTGTTAAACGTGATGGATCTTGTTGGTTTTTTTGTACAAATTATCTATTTAGTTCATTGTGTGCGTTGGTAAAATAGAAATCGGCAAAAGAAGAGTAAAAATGGAAGAAAATTAAATTACGCATCGAGCGTTTTATATATTCACACGAGGCTGTTTCCAAAGATATTTAAGTGAAAAGATGCGTCCAGGCGATAGAGAAAATAATTCGGTACAACCGCTTTGCGTTAATGACGACGATTACTGCACTTGAGTGCATGAGACGCGCAAGATGTGGCCGATAAAATTAATGCAATTACACCTAAAATTGCTTGCATAGTTTTTTTAATTGCATAATTTTACGTCTGCATTTCATTCACCAGTGCATAGCCACCGCCCGTTACAATATATCTTGTTTCGTATGCAAGTCATCGACGCAATTGTTAGCATTTCATTTTTTCGTGTTCAATAAACGTCCGTCCCAGTTTTGGAAGCAGCAACATAATTCTCTGCATTGAGTACGAGAGAGAATAGACAAATGAATTTGTGAATTTTTATGTAAATAACACGAAAATGCCTGCGAGCGTGTTGTGTGTCGCTGTCGATATCGAAGCTCGAAATAGCATACGGTTCGTACGAAAACCGAGTTAACCTGCAAACGTAGGCGTTTTTATTTTCTGTTTCGTGTTTTTTTTCTTCTTCTGAATCCGCGGCGTGGAAACAGTGTTCATTCTACATATATTATATGTATTATTACGCAGCAGAGGCAGAGTGTTTACATTCAAAGGGCTGTCTTTTCAAATCCGTTGTCAATACGCCGATAACACGGTGCTAATCAATACTTATATTAGTTTCGCTCATTGTAATCTGCTTTGCAATGATAACATTGCTTCAACCTATTCAAACGGAAATCTCATTTCAACCGTGTTTCAAATGACACAAGTCGCAATTCACAGAAATAAAGGCGAAAGTTGTTAAATCGTAATCTGAGTGCCTCGTTAAATTATTCTCAGTGAAAACTGGAACAAGGCGCCTTAATTTGTATCTTTTTTGCAATTCATTCGAAGAAAAAGCATTCGATTCAATGGTTTTGATAGGTCGACGTTATCGTTTATTCTAACATTATTGAACTGCTGGTTATTGAAAACGTTCATTAGATGCTTTGTTGTTTCTAAGCCATACATACCCATGAAATTCATGGCATGAATAATTCACAATGATTGCATTATCAATTTCGAGTTTGTCATCGATCGATAGCATACTATCGTCAGGCCCAAGTGTTGTCTGGCGATTTGGGGCGATGTTTGTTTATTTTTCTTACATTTTCATGAAGATGGACTCTTGTCATTAATCTAATAACAGTTTATTTACGAAATGACATTTCGAAAAACTCACAACAATACAAGTATCATGCTAATGATGCGTTACTGAATAAACAATTTGATGAACCGTTCACGAAAAAGAAAACAACCGTTGAGATTATCAAATGCACAACTAAAAATAACTTCGACTTGAGAATATTCCATTCGATTCTCTTTGCTTATTTTTAACTGATTGAATTGAAAAGAAAAAAAATTCTGCGAATTTTTTCTTGCATTTTAAAATCGTAGTCAAAGAAAATACCTCTTTTTCATTCGTTGTCACAACAATAACAACAATAATGGCGACGAACAAGCGGTAGAAACAGTTAAAAAAAGATTTATCGACCGTATTGTCGAGTTCAAATACATGTGTGTACATTTGGTGTACGGTAAAAGAGGGCAGGAAAAACTATACGAATCACATTGAAATTGGTTCAATAATGATTATTCTATTCAATCAAAATTGGATGGAAAGAAAGTAGAGAAAAAAAAGAAAAATACGCGAACAAATCACGAATCGATGCACTGACAAATCGCAAGTGTGTGCGGTCGACGACCTTAAATCGCTCCACTTCTTGCTCCATAACAGCGAACTCGAAACGGTATTTATTATGCTCTGTGTGTGCGTCGTTCGGGCCAGCATAACTACTTGTGCTACGTTAAGCATTAAAATCCAGCTAAAAGTCTTTCGCTGTTTCCACGCACCGTAGTGATTCGGGTTTTTTGTGCGTGCAAAATAATAGTTACGTTCTATTACTGTCAAGTTGCTGTTATTGTTGTTGTTGTTGTGATTTGAATAACAAAAGTTTCGGGTCGGAAAAGAGAAAAATGAGTTTATTCTCGCGCTGAAAACATGGTCATTACGAGTGAGATACGAGTGGTGATGATTCATCGGCTGAAAATAATTCATTAAAACAAACACATAGTCTGCTATAAACGGTCCAATAAAAGCCATATTCTGCGAGCTGAAATAGCCCACATTCATTGAATTGTCACCGAATGAACGAATGAACGAACAAGCGGATGCACTTTATTAAAAATACCCCAAATTCAATGCTCCGAATTGTGAACATGTTTACTTGCTAACCCTAATACTTGTGTCGCCGTCGTTGTCATCTCCATTAGCACAAAATATGTCGTTCAGCTTCTGTATAATATGGCACTTCCATTGAGTAATGCCATACCCCACGATGGTAGTCAAAATTCGATTCTCTGCACCATATTTCGTCCACCATGAAACAAACTTGTGAATCATTTTCACTTGAATTGTGTGTGAGTAGCACAATCGTTAGGTGTGCATTACACTTCTTTTTTATATTCCGTATCACATTCTCGCCATGAATTATTGATCATGCGCAATCGAGACGCAATGTGTGTGTGCATCTTCAACATTCGAAAAACATTGTTTCGGGTTCTGTATGTTCAGTTTAATAAAAGACATATAACAAACGATTTATGTTCCTGTTGCACGCTCAACACACTCGCCTCGTATTTATGCTACGAGGGCTGTTGACACACGCTGAATTTCCATTCAGCACGCTTCTCCTCCATTGAACAATCATACTGCGATTTGTAAACGGCTTTTCTACTTTTCTATCAAATTAAACATGATAAACAGTTTTCGTTACTGACGTCTCTCTCTCTCTCTCTCTCTCTCTCTCTCTCTCTCTCTCTTTCGCAGCTTTGCTGGTCTGTGTGAAGTGGTGGTGCAGTGAGTGATTGAGCGGCAGATAAAGTGAGAATGTCTGAAGCGTGTAGATTCCTTAATGCATGGTATTATGGGCTTATTGTTTGGTTGCATGATGCTCAAACCGGCATTAAATTATTATTTTCGTTGTTATCGAAATGAAATGTTCGGTTTTTTTCATTAGAGATTTCATTCGAAAACGAGTCGATTTGAGGCTTACTATAAAATTAATACGTTGTGAGGCTTAAAAGAAAAAAGTGCACTTTCCAGTCGGAAATTCATTTCTATTCTCGTCGCTACGTTTGGAAAATACGCAAGACAATATACTTTCATACTAATTAGAAATGTTGTCTTAATCTAAACAGATTCTTGTTTCCACATAGGGGTATTGCAACGACCATAAAATATATGTATTTCATCAAGTTTATCAAGCTATTTCCAAGTTTAAGCATAGTTTCGAACTTTCGTTCAAGCTCTACCATCTAAATGTACAGTGAAATAATTTACGGGCACGACGTAAGATGGCGTTTTTTCTGGTCAAAATAGTTGCAATATCCCTTTGTGTTTCCACTTCCCTAAATGCGCACGTACCTTGACGAGATGGCATTTAAAATCTTCAAAATTTTTTTCGTTTCGAGTGCAAAATAAGAAATAAAATTGTGAATGCAGTGATCGTTTGTCGTCGTCGACATAATAGGTACTTTGACGTTGGTATTACGCAAGCGAGAGAGACAAGCGGTTCTCCGTTTTGCCACAAAGTCATTGTCATGTGTGTGGTGGAACGTGTTATGGTCTCTCTACTTTCAACGCGTAGTATTTTAATGCGTGTCACATGCAGCGGAAACTAAAACAATGAATCTTTCATTCACTCGCTTCGTTTTGCATTTGATTTCTTTCTTTTTCGTCGCCGCATTTCCCTTCATTCAAACCCGTTTTAGTTCTTATTAATTACACGGTTGCATGTTCGAGTTAGATATTTTCAATTTCGCAATCGTACTTCTTGCCATTACTGTTTGCTATTTGTGAATCGTCGGCGAAACAAAAAAAATCTCCCAGGTGATATGGTGCAATGATTACGTCAAGTAGCGAGAAAACGAACATTTTCAAGCGAGAATGCAATAAAGCAAATCGATTTCGAAAGGGATAATTCATTTTTACCATTTTTTTTGCGCCGCAAATTTTTACTCCCCTTCTGTATTCATCTGCCTTAATAACTTTATAAATCCAAATCCAACGCAAAGACATTCTGTTTCGCCAGTTTGAAAATCGAAACGCACTTTATATGGTGGTTTACCGCTTGAAACGATTCATTTTTTTTCTCGTCTGAGTGGCAATTGCATTAGATCAAACCATTGCATTATCTTGAACGGGAAGCGTGAAATGTTTTACAATTCGCAATTTATGGTTCGTAACGTGTTTTACTTGTATCATTGGCAAGCAAACAGAAAGAAGAGAATTTGCGGTTGCTATCGGTGTTGCTGCTGCAGCAGTAGTTCCATTCGAAGATTACCTGTTTCGCTTAAATAAAAGAAATAAGTGGAAGAAAGGAAAAAAATGATTATTCGACCATTTTCCGAAATTGATATGCTTCAGAGGCTAAACTTAGCATAAATCTCGATGCTCATCACTCAATACAATGCCATTTTATAGAACAATAGAATGTCACGCTTCACGGCATCGGCCCGTACGAAGAAGAAAAATTAAAACCACTTTGCAACCACGCGCGCGCGCACACAAACTTTCAAATCCATTCATTCAACAGTGTGTTCAAAATATATGCAGAAACTTCGAATGAATTCATGAAAATACGCACTCGCACATGTATCAACACAGATTATTATGACTCATTGAAATTTCTTCTTCGCTCAAAACAACAGTGTCGAACATGTAAACAAGTGGAACATTACAACCAGATGGAAACGCTCAACATTTCTCAAATAATACTGTTGAAAGTGGATTTTCATTTTGTGATGAATGAAAGGAAGAAAAAAAAAATCGAAAAGAATTTTTCACGCTTAACATGTGTGTGCTTGTGACCTACGAGCAAGTAGGAAACACTTGACTTCGAAACTTCAATCAAGATATGTAATCATATCCGAATTTGTTATTTTGTCTCCACTTCGACTGTTTTTTAATTAACGTTTTAAAAAATGATTACGGTAATAAATTTTTATTTGAATGACCTTCAACTGATTATTTTCGAAATTTGCCACATAAAAAGCGTATAAATCAACTAATTATTCCTAAAAGCATTTGTTTCTAAATAGAAATATTTAAGAGTTCATTCGATTACGAAACACGTTTTACAATGTTTGCTGCCACCATTCACATAATTCCAAATGAATTGACTCCGACGAATTTAGCTCTAATTAATGAATTTTTGAGAATTGTAGGAAATCTTAATAGGCGATTCAACTGTGTTTTTTCGACATTTTAGCAACAAATGTCGTTATAGCAACAATTTCAATTTTATTTTGCTTTCGACTTTATTGCAATAATTTTAATTTCACTTTGCTACGAAGATTAATTCGACGTGTTTACTTCAGTTGATACTGTTGATTGGAAAAAAAAATCGATTTTTTTTCTGTTTTATGTCATTTATTTGTATGTTTTCATCTAGGGGAATTTAACTCTTACGAGTGCAGCATGTTTTCTGCCAGTTTGCTTGATTCGCGGAAGTTCGACGCGTTCGTTGTACGTACTGACGCGCACGGTCACAAGTTTACACAAGTTTGTTTATGGTTTTGCGCGTTTTTCAAGTTGTTATTTGACAACTAAAACGCGTTTCAAACTAAAAATCGGTTGTTTACGTGTATAAAGATTTTTCACATCCTTTCCAAAAGTTCAAAGATTTATATAATTATAAAATGGACAAAGGAAATATTTTTAAAGAGCTGGAGAAAGTGTTGGAAGAAAAAGTTAATCCAGATAGATATAATAAATGGAACGACTGATGTGTGCGCGTCGTCTAGCTTCATGTTTGCACACGAACTCGCACAAGTTCGCGCAAGTTCGCGCAAGTTCGCGCATGTTGTTTTAATACGGAACTTGTCAACTGAGTGGAATCATGCAAGTTCTCTGTTGAATGTAACAATTTTGTGCGCGTTTATATCATTTTTTTACAAGTTTTCACGTAGTTAAATCCCCCTAGGTTTTCATTCCAAAATGAAATACTTCATCACCCAATCAATTGAGCTACAAATACTTTAATGCCTTGGCTTCTTTTACCATTGCTTTCAAACCGTTAAGTACTTCTATGGCATTCGGTATGATTTGATCCGCTGGCAAGACGAATCCATGTTTTCCTACAAAGAAATACAATATTGCGCATCACAATATCATTTACAATGATAATTATTATCGTTTAAATGACGAGTGAGTTTGTTTCGCATTATTCAAATCTTACCTTTATCACGGAGTTCAATTTTATAAACAAGTGGCACTTTTTTGACGCCATAAACCCAATCGATAGTCTCACCCGAAGATGGATCTAAACAAAAATCACGAATAATCGTTTAAATTTTCATTCAAATAAATGGAAACGTTGCACAACATACAATCTTCGTTTGAATTTCCACATGTGTATTCACTACCGAATCGACCTTTAATTGCTCCTAACGCTTTTCCACCAATTTGTATCTGAAATGAAAGAAATCCGTAATCCAAAAACCATTTGAAAAGAACTCATAGATACATACCAAGTTGTTGTATTCAGGTATTGACTCATTTGTGTATCCATTGGGGAAGAGTAGCTTTTGATCGTAGGAATGGAACGTAAGATAAAGTTTAATGCTTTCAGTTGCGTTGATGAATTCGACCATTGAGCGGAATATGCTGATGGACCGGCATAGTTTTCTGAACACGGATCATTTGGAGCGCCAACCTCTGAAATTCGACATCTCATGTTGAGTGTCATTTTTACATAAAAATTTTATGATTGAATTACCACCATGATGAAAGTCATAGTTCCTGTTTGGATCTGCTCCCACACATTGGCCGTATGTTTGACGTGTTTTTGCCCACATTCGATTCTGAAGAAAAGACAATCGACGAAATATTGCAAGCGAATATATTTGGCTTACTTCTTAAACTTACAACGGTATGGGCATACTGGTATCCATCCACATCTGAACTGCAATAAAAGTCATATATTTACTAGGTACTGAAAAAACTGAACCGCCGAATGAATGAAAATCGATCGCAGGTACTGAAAAGTATTGAAAATCGGTTTTCAGTAGTAATTCGCCCCTTGGAGGAACTTGTAAAAATTTAAACTAAATTCATTTTCGCCATGATAATCAAGTGTTGTTCAGTCTTCTAATTCGACTAGACCCAGTTTTCATTCAAAATCCTCTTCATGTTCACTGTTTCATTAAAGCAAGAATGAAATTTGAGGATTTTGTAAGTCATTAAGCAATTTAATTTCCCATTTGCCTTTTCAAGTACACTGTGTTCGAGAGCGCGTAAATAATAATAGACGTAGCGCCAGCAATTTTGCATATTCAGTAAGCAAGTGGATCACAAGTGGAAAAACGCAGTTTCTTTGGAAGAAATCAACGTAGTTTAAACCACCGATTTGTTAAACGGTTCACAATACCATTATAATTGATCTAATTCGTGAAATAGCATTGCGGCGCTTGAATATTCAATTTTTTATGGAATATCAAGGGGAATGTGGCCAATTAAAATGTATCTAACAATTCAAAACGTACTATCAAGTGGGAGAATTCTGTGGAGAGATTGAAAATCACATCCGATTAAATATCTGTTTCATTTCTGTCGAAACAATATTTCCAAAATCCAAATGAATTATAGCCATGAATGGAGAAGCGTTTTATGTGCCAATAATTCCAATTGATTTGTTTACAGTTTATTAAGCATTCGCCATAATTACTTTCTCGGTAATATGATACGTACATGAAAGCGATATTGGGCTATGTCAGGCATAAAATAATTGCGAAATCCAAACAAAAGTGCGATCTGATGCGAAAATATGGCGGTGATTATGTTCGGCTTTGGTGCGTTTCTATTTTTGTCGCTTCGGGCACATTGATGATGATCGTTAACACATTTTTTTTTTGCGACGAAATGAAGTAGTAATATTAGACATCAAAAATCTACACAGTTTCTATTTTGCTTGCTTGCTTTTGACATGGAAATATTCATGGAACAACAGCAAACACTCAAATAACAATTAACATAATAATGAATATATTTCCGCTCTAAGCTAATTGCTCCGCTTTTTTTGTTCGTCTGCTTCTATTTTACCCAGGGCCTATTGCAAAATCTTCCTCTTTCTCTCTCTCTATCTCTCTCTCTCTCTGCCTCTATTTCCAGGGGCTTTACTCTTGACAAGCGATTTACTGGATAAAAGAACGAAATTTCTTTTGTACAACAAATAATTTGTGGTTAATTTATTTGCTGCTTGAATTGTGCCACTTTCCGCAAGTAAATTGTGTCGGGTTTTAGATACCATAAAAATGCTTTTACTAAGCTGCATTACAATGAGCCATTCATTTTTTTTTTCACACAAATTCTACCGTTAAATTTATGTTTCATTTTCGACGAACGAAAGAAAAGACAAAACACTAACATCTTCGTTTGTTTTACATTTCAGAACTGTGTTGAGTAGTGCTCGAAAGAATAAGACAAGTGCGATATAAATAACGCACGCTAAACGCAAGCGACTGACACAAATAGCATTCACACAATCAGCTGTATTTTTCTGTGTGATTCGTTCATACAACAAAAACTTCTATTGTAACGCAGCAAGTGTTTAATAAGTCGAAAAAATGTCATCATCATCACCACAAGCAACACCTGTTAAAAAGATACCCATTCATTTGCAAGTAAGTCAACAAATATCACACATTTGCAATATATTTTCGTTTACTTCGAATGTTTATCATTTTTTTCTTCGTTACACAGAGCTCGCAGAGTCGGCTTTACATTAAACGTGGCCAAGTTGTGAATCACGATAGTACGATTGCGGCTGATATCTACATAGAAGATGGTGATTATCGACACAGCACCATTGGTTATGCGAAAGCGCGCTAATAATTGTTCATTTTTGCACAGGTATTATAAAATATGTTGGACCAAGCGGGGAATTTGTTGTTCCAGGCGGTGTTCGGGTGATTGATGCAGCCAATCGTCTAATTTTGCCCGGTGGAATTGATCCACACACACATATGCAATTGCCATTCGGTGGCGCTGTTGCTGTGGATGATTTTTATAAAGGAACAAAGGCGGCGATAGCCGGAGGAACCACCACCATCATAGACTTTGTTTTGCCAAACAAAGGTCAATCGCTTTTAGAGGCATACGACCAATGGAGATCATGGGCTGATCCAAAAGTGTGCTGTGATTATGGTTTGCATGTGGGCGTCACATGGTGGTCGAAATCGGTGCGTGATGAAATGCGAATTCTATGCGAAGAGCGTGGTGTGAATTCATTCAAAATGTTCATGGCATACAAGGGCCTCTACCAGTTGGAAGATTCCGATTTGTACGAAGCGTTTGAAACTTGTAAAGAATTGCAGGCCCTTGCTCAAGTACACGCTGAAAATGGCAGCATTATCGAAAAAAACACTGCGAAACTGCTGGCAGCAGGCGTTACGGGACCAGAAGGCCACGAATTGTCACGCAGTGAAGAAGTCGAAGCAGAAGCCGTCAATCGAGCGTGCATCATTGCTCATCAGGTAAACACAAAAAAAAAAAACTATTTTAAAACCATCGACCACTATGTTTAATATGTGCAAACTTCCCTTTTTAATCAGATTGTTCTTGTTAATCTGTTAGTTTTGATTTAATCACTGTTTTTTTTATCGTTTTTTTTTTCTTCTTTGCAACCTTTCCTATTCGAAACTCCAACATGCACTATATCCAAAAATGAACACAAAATCGTTTGTTATGTGAATAATAATCGAACCGTATATTTGGTTAACATGTATAAAATATTGAATAAAATTCGATGCTTGCATTGTGGGAATAGGTTAATTGCCCGTTGTATGTAGTTCACATTATGAGTAAATCGGCATCGATTGAAATTGCCCGTGCACGTCGTCGTTACAAGGGTGTGGGCATATTTGCAGAAACATTGGCTGCCACTTTGGGTAGCTATGAAGCCCACCATTCATGTTTCCGACATGCGGCTGCACATATTCTAAGCCCACCCTTGAGACCCGATCCAAAAACACCCGAATTCGTTATGAAAATGCTTGCAAAGTGAGTTGAACAACAAAATCACAAAGTCGTCATAAGTTTTTTTTTTATTAAACAATTAATCTCTATATATTTGTGGTCTACCAACTGTATATTGTGCTGTTTATATTGAGAAATCAACTACATTTTCACTCTCTTCACAAATGCGTCTAACTGGTTTAACGGGCATACTAACTTATTAGCAAACATACTAAATATAACTTATTAGCAATTGAATCGATCAATCAATCATTTGTCATTCCTGTGTTTGGTCTTTGTGTCAATTTTTATTTGAACTGATATAAAAAACAGAAATTATTTGCTGTCATTTTTATATTAAAAAAAAAAAAATCAAAGTTTAACTTACTTTGATCATATTTTCATTTTCATTTTGATGGTTTCATCGCCAACACCACCATCAACCATAGGTTAAGGTACCAATTTATATAACACGGATGACAAGTAAATTAGCCGCAGAAACGGTGGCTCGCGCTCGTTTGCGTGGAATAAATGCATTTGCTGAGGCATTGGTAGGCGCGATTGGATGCAATTTGCATGGTATGAAACCAGCACAAGCTATCTACTATGTAACATCGCCACCAATCCGATCAGATCCAGAAGCGCCACATTTCTTATTGAAAACATTGGCTTCGTAAGTACAAGTATAGCTGCCATTCATTGAATATTCTAACTCGTTCTGCTTCATAGAGTAGTATCGCCTCAAACTCATTTCCAATTCAACTAGTTTTAGTGACTAATTTGTTTGGGTGTTTTTGTGAATGAACAAACATCATTTTCTAATAATTCAACTTTTCATTGATGAAACATATAGAGGCCACTTGCAAACCACCGGAAGCGATAATTGCACATTCAACCGTGAGCACAAAGAATTGGGCAAGAATAACTTCACCAAAATTCCCAATGGTGTAAACGGAGTGGAGGATCGTATGTCGATCGTTTGGGAAAAGGGTGTTGAAGGACGAATTATTAGTCCACAGAAATTTGTTGCAATCACCAGTACCAATGCGGCTAAGATCTTCAATTTGTATCCACGCAAAGGACGTATTGCCGTTGGTTCGGACGCTGATATCGTAATATGGAACCCAGAAGCGACCAGAGTCATTTCGGCGTAAGTAAAATAGCAAATTCATATTCAATGAAGGCAAAGCAATTTAATTCAATTTTTTTTGTACTTCTTATCCACAGCAAAACCCATTACCAGGCATGCGACTTCAACATCTTTGAGGGCATGAAAGTGCATGGAGTACCAGAAGTGGTCATCGTGCGTGGAAAAGTGTGTGTTGAAAATGGCCAGGTGCGTGTTGCAGAAGGTCAAGGTCGTTTCATTGAAACACCAATCAATGCACCATACGTGTATAACCCGTTGAATGGTGAATCGAACGGTGATGAAGTTGACGACCGTGAAAATGGTGACGATAAAAATGGTGCTATTGAGCAATTGGAAATTGAAATTCCAGTAATTGAACCGATCGCCAAGTACTTGGCAGGACCAGCTCTAAGCATTACATCGGAAACACCATCAACAGCTCAATCGATTTGCGGAAGAGGAGCACGTCCAGATGGTCAACGCAATCTTCAAAATTCGTCATTCTCGATTAGCGGTGAGTGTGACCAAACATGATGACGAGGAATGATTTTTTTTATATTCAATATCTAATTGTGTTCAATTTTCTTTCTCATCTGAGCAGAGGAACTCGACAACAGTGCAACACGTTCAACAATCAAGGTGCGAAATCCTCCAGGTGGAAAATCGTCTGGATTCTGGTAAATTTCAGCACTCAACCTCCCGTTTACACAATATTCTACACTACACTACACACACACACTAAAACAAATGGATTTGGGGACATCAACATATATAACGAAAATGGTGCAAAAAAGCAGACCGTAGTGATTAAGTACAAATGATACTAACTGAAAAGAAAACATAGTACGCGGAATCACATGAATCTATTAATGTATTTAATAATCACATTACAATCCATTTCCCCTTTTTCCCATTTTGTATGCGCAATAAATTCATTAAGCAGATGCAGCCTTTGAAAAACGATTGTATCGGAAAATTAGTTAGACATTAGCTTAAGGTACGTTTCGCTTCAAGTTAAACTAAATTCCTAGATGAAATGGGCCAGAGTATGTGTTGATTCGGAGCAGATGCAAGTAGACTAAATATTTCCGAACGAAAAACATTGAAAAACAGGAACAGACAACACAAAAACCATGCATACACACAGTCACAATTAAGTCGCCATCTCATCGCCGAAATTCCAAAGATCGCTTTCTTTTTTTAATCAGTTAATATTTAAAAGGAAAATTAATGGTGTTTTTATGAAAATGCATGTATTTGTACAACAAATATACAATAATAATAAATTACAAAATCGACAGCCGCATTTCGTTTTAATTACACTTGATATGAAATTTCAGCTCAGATCAAATTTTACTATATTTATTCGCGAAAAAATACACACACACACACATTTAATTGTGATGAAACCAGCAGTGTTCTCAATTTGGGCATGCCAACTGCCATTGAACCAAATTAAAATCTGATTTTGGAGGTTTGGTATTGACGTTAGTATCTCTCATACTAATAAACAAAATGTGTCTGTTGTGTTCACGTGCCAAACTAACGAATAAATACCAAACGTACACACTGATGACAATAAGCACGAAAGTTGCACACATTTCTTATTTATTAAATTTCATCTTGTCTGTTTTAATTTTGGTGCCACCAAAACTGCTTTTTTCGGCATTTTCGCTGCGTTCACAAAATAATTCGTTAGTCGATTGTGATGAGACACTGAGTACAGAAACGTGTTAACGACAACAGTTAAGTGCGCGTCCGTTGTGTGCATATAAATGTTGTGCTTTTGTTTTTCCGTGAGGATTTCACTCTGTATGCGAGGTATGGAGTATTTTATCCATGAGTTGTTTGAACCATAAGCATATGACTTGCCTGTTGCGCATTAATCGATTCACCGTATCAAATGTACCTTGTCCTTCTCGACTCTATTCTGTGTGAACCTCTGTTTTCCAATACCTTTCAATGTCAAATGAGTAGAATGCTCGGGAATACGCATGGGAACGATGTGATAAGAAATTTTTGTGGTTGTTGTTGTTGGCCTAAATCCAACTCAATGTAAACTTTCACTCAAGCGTTCGACATTGATTGAGTTTTAGATTGAGTCTTAAATTCGTCGAATTCATCTTCCAAGTTCGAAGACATCTACCAATTTCTTGGTGGACCAAGCGGAAAATATTATTATTTATATCATGATTAAACAGATATTTTGAGCAATTTGCTTTTTTTTTAATTTAATTTGTTCCGTTTTTTTTTTCTCGAAAATTTTTCGGAGGAGTTTCATCAACTCCAATCGACTCTTATCATAAATTTATGATGAAGTTCATTCGAGTCGAATGTGTTTCCCGCTAATTCAATGGTTTTGTTTACAGGATTCTGCTCAATTTTGAATGTAAGTTACATGAGGAGCACGCAATAGACATAGAGTGGAAGTGAATTTACTCCTTCATGGACACTTGTTTGCGGCGCCGCATTCAAATGAACAACCATTTTTCCATGGCCCAGGTTTTCCAATAAGTTCCTTTTCAGTCGTGTTTTGCTGCTGCTGGAGACAAGTCCTTTCACTCTCTATGCCAAATTTCAATTTTGTTCATTTTTTTTCTCTTGTGTTAAAGTGAAACACTCACATTGCAAATAATATCTCATTTTTGTCTGTTACATCATTTACACAGAAGTGAGCCCAAAAATTTTTTCTTGTGTGAAACTATGATTATTCTGTAGTTTAAGCACCACGTCATTGAATTTTTTTAAAAGCAATTTTTGTGACGAACGAGAAAAAAATCTACGTATTTTTCGATAAACGTGTTCTCAATGTGGACGAAATCAGATGAATGGCACTTTGAATCTAAAAATAGATGAGCTCAACGCACAAGTCAGAGAAGATCCAAAAAGAGAGAAAAAACATGATGTGCAATTCCAAAGAAAAAAAAAAAATCTAAATCAACTAACAAATTGAGAGTAGTGTAATCAAATAGAAGAAAATGTGTAAGTAAAAAGTGACACAAAGGTAGAACAAAAAAAAAATTGTTCACGAAAAAAAAATTTGGGTGGGAAAAGCACAAATATAATACAAATACACGAATGTATAAAACAAATATACGAAATGGTATGACCGTTTGGCGGAGCCAAATGGGGTGAGAGTGACACATACAATAAAAGAGTGGATTTGAGTAAATGTCTCGTTTTTAATTTTACTACGTCGAAATTTAATTATAATTAAAGCAACGAGAGCGTGGATATGTACACAGGCCAATAGTGATGCAAAAGAGAACATGGAAAAGGACTTTAATAATTTATAACCAAGAAAATTTGGGATTAAATTTTTTGGGTAGTGTGTATGTATGTATGTGTGTGTGTGTTGAAGAAACACACCTCTGGCGCTTTACCCAAAGTAAGTGAAGAAGCACATACAATTTTGCATGAATAAAAAGCGTGAAACATTAATTCCAAAATTAGCTACATTCGTCGAAAAGCTTTTAGCCATTTCCTTTGAGCGAATTTTCCGATAGAGAAATTCCACAACAACGGTATGTGATAACCGCTGCTCAGACGACGACGACGACGACGACGAGGACGACGACGAGAGAGCGAGAGAAAAAGAGCAAAAAATGGAGTACCGAAGATAATAATATTGTGTGGATAAGCCACGCAAAATACCGTTGAGTGGTGTTAACACAAATGAAACAGCATACACACGAACTGTACTATATATGAGTTATTCGAATGGAAAATGGTGTTAAAATTCCTTTCCTAATAAATAGTTCACATTCATCTTTGACAAGCAGCTATTTAAAGTGTTAAAGACTGTAATGTGTAAACGTCCTGTTAATTCTTAACAAAATGACTCGCAAATATTGCTGTAATATTGCTCAACTGATTGAAATTTTGAGCTCAACAAATTGATAGAAAAATAAATCGAATTCAAAAATGTTGAGCCCAAAAATGCAAAGATCTGTTCGCGTTCAAGATAACCAGATAATTCACCTGGCTGACCGTGCACAGTATGACCACTCAATGGTAAGTTGAAAGTAAAACTTTTTTGATTTGATTATCATATTATATAAATATATTTGATAAATGAACCCGTGAGCATAAAAACGACTTATTAAACAATCGCCGAACAAAACGATACAAGAAAAAACTACCGAACAAAACGTACCACAGCGGTAATGTGTAGCACAGCGGAATTTCGTTTTGAACGGTACCGTCCTGCTGTGTTACGTTTTTAACGTGTGTTTTGTTTGGTAGTTTTTTCTTGTATCGTTTTGTTCGGCGATTGTTTAATAAGTCGTTTTTATGCTCACGGGTTCAAATGTCATTCTAAGCAAAAAAAAAAAAAATTCAGGAATTAATTCAGTTCTTTGTCTTGAAGGAACTTGAAACACTTTTAAGGAAATAATTTAAAGAATGTTATTTGCCATAATTGGGTGAAAACATTTAATAACATATTTTCTACTTTGTAAAAAAAAAATTCTCTCTCGTCAATGCCACAAATAATTTTTTTTTGAACTTATTTAGACTCAACTGAGCTTCATTTAACTTGAACTTATTTTCATCAAGAGATTTCATAGTTTTACTTCGTTATCGACGCATTTATCCATAGGTTTTTGTCGTTGTTGTGTTTGTTTATGCCAGGCCAACGGCTAATCCATTTCACTACGTGTTTTTCCAGGTATTTCAGCGATGCCCTGTATACAAGCCCAACTGCTATTAGAATCCAATTGAATTTGATTTTAGTTTGATAGCATAGTGTTATAATATTCACCTGGATTTCGATTGCAAGCTTCTTCCCTTCAGAAAAATCGATATTTCTTCTTTTCACCTTCTTTTCGTTTGCTGTTTAAATACATTGAGATTCATTCAAATTCACCAATTGGAAAATTTAAATGAACGCATTTCTGCGAATTTTTCATTGCACGTCATTGAAAGCAATTTTGTCGGAAAATTCCAATTTCCCTGAAATTCTCCTAAATGGCCCAAAAAAGAAACAAAAGACGGGAAAAAATGGTAATAGCTGCTCACACGCAAAAGCGTACACGTTGAGATGCCCAAAATCAATACCGACGGAATTCTAGATTAATCAATTGCTCTCTGCTAATTGACTGCCACTCATTATCAGCTTGTTGGAGGTAAGCGTTCCATGTACAGAGTCAGCCATCAAACGCACAGTCGAATGAATCACGAAACATAGATTCATCGTGTAATTAAAAAGAAGGATTCAGTTCACTGAATATGTAGAAATAGTTCGTTCATTCGTTCCAATTCATAATTCTTATCCATCGCGCCATGCAAACATTAGGGAAAAAGAAACATTGTATGATAGCACTGCGTCCGTACAACTAAAAACAATACACTTGAATTCGTGAGAAAAAAAAAACTCTGTTCACTTTAGTGAATCAAACCATTTAGTGATTCACATCATACCTGGAAACACCCTCGCAACGACAAAAAACACCAAATATTAATGAGTGTAAAAGCCTGAACTACTTTCATGGAGCTAATTTACTCTCCCCCTGGGGGAGAGTATATTGGAACATTTTGGAATTTAATAAAATATTGTGGAATATTGGAACATTGTGGAGCTCCGTGGAGCTCCGCGGAGCCCATGGACCTCTACAGAATTTCAGCTCCAATATATTCCACCATATTCCAACAAGCTGCCACGGAGCCACCAAAAAATCGACTCGAATATGTAACCCCCTGAATAGCATTTGAATCCAGCTAAATGGGCTGTCGATTTTGACGTTGCGGTAATTATGTGTAATTGATTTTCCGACATAGCTTATTCAACCTCGCCAAAAACTTTTCCAATATATTCGTTCGTTTTTTTTTTCGTTGATTTTTTTTTTCATTGAATCATAAATATGGATTTTAATAAACCATCAACTTGAACTCCTTGAATTTCAAATTTTTGGGAAATGACGTCATAGCTGAATATTTTAATTTTTATCCAAAAATGATCGCCTTATTTGGTTTCGCTCCATTTTGTACAGGTGGTACTGAGTGTGCCCTCTTAGATCGATTGACCGAACTCCCGATTAAAATATTATAGCTCAAAAGAAAACAAAGCAAAGCAGACAGGCCCTAAAACGATATCGAAAAAAGAGCGATAGCGTGCAGAATAAACAGTGGTGGATATAGAAGAGCCGTTGTGTGTTCTGAATGTTTCGAACTTTATGTTCGTTTGTAAAATTAACACTTGCTTTGCCGTTGTATTCAAATTAATATATAATGTGTTTATTATGCACCTTAATGAGGTGCTGCTTTCGCCTTTAATCGAATCGTTTCCCTCGAAATTCAATTAAGTTTGCTAAATAAGCAAGAATTTTCGTTTGCTCGTTCAACACATGGCATTCCATTCTAGCAAACACACACACACTCTGTCGCTTGGTTTTTGATGATTGGAAAAGTGCTGCGAACCGTTTCGACCTTCAAAAAACTTGAAGAAAAACATGCCCGTAGCAAATGAATATACCGAGTGATTTTTTGTTGTTCCATTTTCAAACATACACACTAGTATTTATAGAGCTACAGGTTAAAATGCCTCACGCGATTCAACTGCGGCATATGAAAATTCTCTCTCTCTCTCTCTCTCTCTCTCTCTCTCTCTCTCTCTCTCTCTCT